CTACCTTCCTGTGTGGCGACTAACCCACTTCAAGCGTTTTACCGCCACCTAAAGGGCTGGAGGGAGAAATTTACTGTCCTACTCTTCTTAAATACAGTTTGATTAAAAATCAGTTCCTCTGCCATTTGAAAGTTGCTTTTTTGGTCAATTGCAGTGATATTGCAAATGCAATTAATTGCCCAGCTTTACTCCTCACTTTGTTTATGCTGCTTATTTGTTTCTAGATTTCCATAGCAGACTACAACTAAAGCCTCAGTGTAGCTGTCGATGTTAACAAACATCCAAACCATGAGCTGCCGTAAATATAGCAATCAAAGAACCGATTCTGAGCCAAATTGAGACTCCAAGCAGAAACAAGTGAACATTTCAAAAAGCACCTGTGTTGTTAAAACAGAGAGACACAGAAAAGATGGAAGGAAGCAGATTATTCCCCAGAATAACAGAAATCTCATGACATCTATTGCTGCTGAGAGAAGAAAAAAAACTTGTTTGTCCTTATATTAGTCTTGGCTGAGTGAGATGCAGTAAATTAATGAGAGCAAAGCTAAATCCAATTTAAGGAGCTCTGCTTTGGAAAACAAAACCTCCAAAATATGTTTGGATGAACGTCGCTGCCAGAAATCTGCTCCTCAAACTGACTCCAGATATAAAAATGGCTTTTTTCCAGATTTCTGCTGCTTGAATCCAGACTTACAATCACGCACAGATCAGCCACCCTCATGCTGCGTCATGTATTACAGGCCAGGTGGAGGTCTGTCATTTACAATGATGAGAAAACATGAGAGCCTGAGAAAGCAGCTGAATGTGGTTATAAACGATCAATCAACCTTTATACTCCGTTTATAGATATGAGAAGAAATTAGGACTTCCTCAAAGATTCTGCATGTTTTTATTTAACTCAACAAATGGATAGCTGACATTTATTTAACAACACTGAAAAATTCTAAATAACATTAATAAACAATAAAAAGTAAAAGAAAAAATAAAACTTGTATAATTTAATAAAAACTAACAAAAATGTCTGTAAATTCACAGTATTGAGTATTGTATTTAATTAACGGAATTTTTGT